TGGAGATTAAGTCACTGCTCAAAATCACTTGGAAAGAATCTGCCATTTACGGAGATAATGACCTTGCTATTTTGTAGTGTTTTTCTAAAACTCTGAGTATCAATGCTTAACATTAAAACAACTTAGCATCCCTTTTCTGATATTCAGTGTTTCCACTTCTTGATTTAATCTTTTATTTTTTTCTAAATCCACAACCAAAATATAATCTGAAATGATACAGTTAGTTAAGCGACTGGATTTACTTTGGAAAGTGATGTTCATTCCTCCTGTTTCTTTACCCAGGTCTCTTCATTTGAGTACTTTCATAGTTTTGTGGACTCAGATACCATACCAAACAAAAATATTTCAGATGCTATTTTGTTAGTACAGAGACAAAAATGGAAAAGTGGACTGGTCAGTGAAATCACCCTCCATTGCCTAAGCAGGTGCATGGTGTAAAGTGGGGATTTGTGGTTGTGTTACTGGGTTAGTCCAAGACTCTCAGTGGAAAGACACTTGGCCACCCTGAGACAGTAAACGGGGGCTGACTGAGCTTCAGATGCTGAAGACCTGGTTCTTAGAGCTTCTGAGATGAAAGCATGTGGATCCTGCGATCTGCCTTCCACACACACAGGGCCTGTCCTGTTCCTGCTTGGGCCTGCCCAGTGGGTCTGTTCTTCAGGTTCTTCTGCCTTCTAGGTCCCCACAGAAGACCACCCACTGTCTCAGGCAACTCTCATCTTCCCATTTCTCTCCATCTGACCCAAGAATTTCAGATGTCCTCGATGACTTTTTGGTACTGGTTGACATTTACATTTTAGGTGTTCTTTAATTTTTTACATACTGACGCACAAACCTGTGTTTTGTAACAAGACCACATTCCTCACATTCTGGAAGGCACCTCGTTTTGTATCTTTCTCTGCTTATGACATTTCCTTCTTTGAAGTAGTTAGATCATAGCTCCTTTATTACTAAGTGGTAATGACTTTGTTTTCTCCACATCATCTAACGAAGCATGTTGCAGACATTGCTCAACAATATATTTATTTAGTTTGCCTTTGAATTCAGAGATGGGTTGTCACTGTCTGTGGCACTGCGGTTAGGACAGGAATTTCATCTTCTTCATAGAGCGGGTCCGAATACTCCTGGTACAAGGTAAACTTTGGGCTAAGAACTTTAGAATGAAACAAAGTTAACTAGCTTAACAGATCGATATGTTGGTTCTATTTATCGATCCAGTCTTTATGTATACCTGAAAGTTAGCATGGGTTACTTTCTGTTTTTAAAATACAGAATTTGGTGTATTCTTAAGATTTTTGCTTCTAACTAGGAGGACTGGCTTTGACCTACAAAAGCATATGTCATCTTATCCAAACTAGGAACCAGTTACCTTATAGTCTCCTTTGATCCATGGAGATATTGTTGCTAGACAGGGAAACGGATGTTCCTGTACACAATGTGGCCTGTTAACAATGAAAAGTGGACCTATAGACTAGTTCTTGTTGACAATTTGCACTCTACACTGAAGGAATTTGTCTGTTCATCCACTGATGGTTTTAACTGGCAAAGTGAAGTTTTACCTCTGACTCATGAAGATCAGCAGAGGCTTCATCTAGTTTCAGTTTGTCACGTTAACACCAGAAAGCTTTTCTGATTTCTAATTTTGCCTGGGAATTTATGGCAGCACACCAGCAAGAAATGTGAGTTTTCTTTGGGTGTTTGGTTTTAGCTGCTATGTTAAGGCATTTACATGGTTCCTTACCGCACCTCCAGGAAGCAAATGTAGACATAGAATTTGCCTGGGCTATAGAAAAGCCTCTGCTCTCAGTGTGCTGAGGACTTACAGAGAAAAAAGACAAGGGTGAGACGTCTGTTGACGAGGGGCTCCACAGGCACACATGACAGCACAACATTGGACGTGGGAATGTGTGTTCTTCAAGTGTCCTCTCAAAAGAAAAAAAAAAAGAGCTTAAGGAGTGTGGTAGTTCTGTTTGGTTTCAAAGCCAGACACAGTGGCAGCTGTGTGGCTTGGTTTCTTTTTCCAGTTCAGGCACTTTGCTAGTGGAGCATTTAACATCTTTGCTACTGTTTGGTTTTCCTGCCCCTCAGCACATGTGTCCCCCTGGGGGAGGGGAAGGCACAGAGCTCTCTTCGCACAGGATGCTCAGTGGTGCTACATTCTCTGGCCAGTACACTTGGCTGGAACCCAAGGGCGTTTGAATTCTCACTTGAATGCACAGCATTAGCACCTTTCACCCTCTGCTGGCAGTGGGTCAAGGAATCCAGGTTACCTTGTGGGGCAGATTCTTCCCTGGAATAAACACAATGCATGCACTTGACTAGGAGGTCATGGTCAGATGCTGGGATTCTTCTTTTCCCAGTGTGATCAGACATTTGTTCATATTTAAACTGTGTGTACACGGAGGCAATTTGAACATGTAATCAAATCAAAATCTATTCTAAAAAATAGGAAGATCTCATTATAGATTCACAGATCTGTGTGCTTGTGTGCTCAGGGATAATAGTGATACTGGGATATGCTTCAGAGAAAAAGAGAAGAGTGAAAATAAGAAAAACAATGAATGGATTTGAGCCCAAGTAAATGAAGCTCTATTATTTAATTATAGTATCTGACTGTGAATATAAATGGAAGATAGGCAAGAATTGTTTTTTCTCCAGTTGGGATCATAGAAGATTTCATGGCTAAAAGGAAAAGCCAGTCAGTTAGAGATACACACTAGACAGCTGATCCTTCCTGAAATGAATCAGGGAATATAGAAAATGCTTTGAGAATTGAGGACAGTCTCTTTTTCACACACTCAAGTGTTTTTACATCTAAAGTGAATAGACGTGCATAGCATGAAATAAATCCCTGTGTCCATCAAATTTTCTGCTCTGTGGTAGCCTGGATAGATGGGAAGATGCTCACTGACATGTAGGAGAAATGGACATGCTGACTTATAGTTCTACATCTGCACCCTCTGGTGGACTGGGGTCTGCAAATCCATGCTTGGATATTTATTTGTTACCTACTGCTACTTTTGGCAGTTGGTGAGTTTAAACCCCAGTGTCCTGGTTAAATTCCAGTGTAGATGAGTGAGGACACTCCATCTGCCATATTCTTATTCTGCCTTCCTTAAGGAAATGAAACAAAACTGAATTCCAAGTAAACTATTGACACACTTCAGATAAAATCTTAAGAATTTTAGCTCTTGTGGTGTAGCTCAGTGTCATTAGACCTTGGTTCTAGCTCAACTCTGTCATTGAGTCACCTGTGACCTTGTGAAAGTGAGCTTTATCTGTCCATGGTGATCCATTTTCTATGAAAGATGCACATCAACCTAAGTAATTGTTAAGATGAGTTAATTTTAACAGGCTAGAAATTGTTGGTGGCCCATATCATGGTAAAAAAAATTAATCAAATGTTTTATCTTCAAAGGCTTCAAAGACTTTTGAGGGCTTTTATTCACTTTAATGAATTGGAAAACACACCATCTTAGGCTTTATCTTTAAAAGCTGTATATTCCAGAATAGTATAAATCGAATTACTGAAGTCTTGGCGTTTCAAGTCAGAGTCAGGATTTTTTTTTCTTGGCTAATCTCAATTCATTTTTCAGTTATCTTTTTGGAGGGGTTGTGGATGTGGTGTAGTTCTAGGTGTGGGGAAAAAAGGAGAGTATCTCATATAGATCAATTAATTCTGTTGTTTAAATTCTCATTTACCAGTCTCATCAGTTTGCAGAAACATTCAGCAGGGAAGGCACAGTGATTCACTCATACTGGTAAAATGATAACACCAGCAGACTATGATAAGATGTGCCCATATAATGTCATCTGCCTAGAGCAACCACCAAAAAAACTATTCAGAGACTCAAAATCTCTATAGATAAGTTAAAATTAAGTTATAAAAAGTGTTGAAGACAGGCAAAAGAGAATAGAGAAATGAAAATTAAGTTAGAAAACAAAAAAATAAAATTACAGATTTAAGTTGTAACATATCAGTGAATACATTAAATATAAATGACCTAAATATAACAATTAAAAGACAGGTTGTTGGAATGTAGTACAAAATAGGGCTAAACTATATATTATCTATAAGAAATTCTTCAATATAATAATGTAGGCAAAATAAAGACAAAAGGATGGAAAAGATGTATCAATGCAACAAATAAAAAGACAGAATTACTATATTAATATCAGAAGTAGTTTTCAAAGCAAATAAAAGAAACAGTGACTGAAGATATTTACATAATTACAAGAGTTGTAACACTCAAAGGTATGGTAATCCTAAATGCGTATATACTAAATAACTGAGCTGCGAAGTATATAAAGCCCAAACTGGCAAAATTGAGAAAGAGAAATTCACAATTATAGTTGAAGCTCTCAGTCCTCGGGTACTGTTTCTGATCTCATTTGTACACTATGCTGTTCCCTGACATACTCTGCTGCAAGCAGAGACTTTTTGCTTTTCCTAGACATGCCTAGCAAACTCTCACCACAGGACCTTTGTGCCTGGACATTCCTTTCACCTGGAAAGTCCCTTCCTCTGCCTTGCTCAGTTACCTCATCCATATCTCTGCTCAAATACCACCTAATTAAGAAGATTGTCCTTGAATATTCCATCAGTAGTAGCATCCCTATCATAGTCTAGTCCCTTGCCTCAATGGATTTTTCTTCTCTCATCAGAAAATGATTTACTGAATCTCAGTGTTCTGCGATTTGAATAGGAATGTGAAAATTCCCTACTGTCCTTCTCTTCTATACATTCTTTGGGCTTCCAAAGCATTTTATTTCAAAATAAAACAGTCTACTTCATTCTGTTTCCATTCTGTTTGCTGTACTGGTCTAGGTAGTATTTTAAGACTTTGAGGATTTTGAAGTGGTCAGTGTGTCATTCTGTTATGTTCAGTTTATTGTCATCCATTGGTATTTCCCCCCAAAGCTAAGCCTTCACAGGCTTAATCCTGTCTTTGCATACCATGAATCTGCCTCTAAATAACTTGCCTGCAATTCTCTTCCAGGCTTTCTAACCTGTTGGTGGTGCAAAGTCTAACCTGTTGGTGGTACAAAGACCCACTTCGAGAGGATCCTTTGGTGTCTTGGACAAGCCTCCCCGCATGTGGCAGGTATGTCTCTTGTGGATATGAATGAGAAATGTGACTTTCTTTATTTTTCTACAGCTGAACTGCACTTCCATATGAATCCACCATTTTATCATGGGGCAGCCATCCAAGGTGGCATCTGAGTTCTAGATGAGGTTATGAGGTGGTCAGCTTTTGAGGGATGGATCCCCAGCTCCCTGGCTGGCTGTCATTTCTATTACCATGTTCATCTTCCCATTTCTCGTGGAGCATTGTGGGCCACATTGATCAGTCTGCAAAGATCTTATGTTCCCCTTAGCATCTTCCAACTATCTACCTCTTAGGGTATAAAAGGCCATGCTGTGATTCCTGGGATGTTCTGAAGCTCTTTGTCTCTTGCGTTGTCACTTTGAAGTGCATTGCACTTGTGCTATGGCCTCTGTGGTGTGTACTATGACACAAAGTCCTCTGCAAGGTTGGTCAGGCCTATTGATACACCACCCAGCCATTTCTAGTGTCCACACTTCACACAAGAAAGGATTTTTTTCTCCTTTATCCCTCCCTGACAGAGTCTCTCTGTAGCAGTGCTTTGAACAAGCACAACTTAGAAATCAATCAAACAGAATTTGTTTTTTGTCTCTTGCTTTTTGTTTTAATACACCAGAGAAGGATGGTGGAGATTCCTTTGCCTCTGGGTGAAATTTAGGTTTCAGACAGGCTCCATACCTTATAGGTTCACTCTTAGATTTTTAAAAAGTCCTCTGAACACAAAAACAATATCCAGTAAAAAACAAGACTATCCAGTTAATTTAATATCAGATTATCTCCCCTCCCCCATCCGAAGCCCATGATTAGGCTGGACCATTGCAGTGGAAGAAGGTATTGCATTTTCTTCTTTTGTCCTGTACTACTTCCCCACTTACTACGTGCTGTTGTGGAATCTTAGGGGATGGAATGTGGGACAGGAGAGGGAAAGGTGCCCAGGAATGTTTCTGTTTTGAGCTGGTGCTAGGTTAAGTTGGCTTTGTGCTTTCCGATCCTGGTAGATGTTTAAATCTGACTTTCACTTGACCACTTTTGGGGGACTTTGGCAGCTCCCTCGCTGGACACATCTGACTTCAGCTTTCCTGACCTGGGCAGGGCTTACCCTCCAGCTATTCATTCCCTACTGACTCTTGGTTTTCTGATAGTCCATTCTCCATGGACTTTATTTGATGCTTCTAGTGGTTTTCTTGGGCTTTTGTTTGGCTCATCTCACATATGGCCCACATGTGTATCTAATGAACCTCCATGGGCAGGAGGGGTACAGGTGCTTCTCACATTCTAGAGCTGCTCCTGCCAAGCCTCTTGTCCTCCAGCTGTCCAGGGTGGAAGCCATTCTTCAGTCCATTGGCTCTCTCAAACTCCTCGAGCACTGAGTTGTGCCTATGAAGCCCTTCTGGAAAGTAGCCTGTTGCTCGGAAGGAGGTACAACTTAGCGTAGAGCAATCAAGTAGCTCTTACCAGGAACTTCATAAACTTCTTGTCTCCTTTCTATTGATTCTTGACATCTTGTTAAGTTGTGAACTATTGAGCTATTCTCAATTTCTTTTAAAATCTGGATTTTGACATGAACTTTATTTTGGCATTTCATGTACATGTCATGAAGGTGCCTCTAGTGAATCTTCCCATCTGACATCTGGTCACATTGCTCCTACTAGGGAGATTTGGGATGGGCAGGGTGAAGGACAATAAGATTACAATATCCCCACCCTCATGTTGCTCCTTCTTACAAATATCCACACATGTCCACAGGGTTGGCTCCTTCTGAGTGCTGTACCTACCTCCTTTCCTTGGCTTTTGATGCCCATCTTCTCCCTGCATCTCTCTACATTGTCTTTCCATAGGCTATGGTTTGGATGAGTATCCCCAAAAGATCCATGTGCTGTTGGGAGGTGGATGAAACCTTTGGATTATGGGGCCTTGTGGGAAGTCCTTAGGTCACAGGGGCATGCCTCTATAGGGGACTGTGGGACCCTGCTAGCCCTCTTCCCTTTTTACTTCCTAGATCACCATGTGAGGTACTTGCTTTACTGTGTCCTTCTGCCATAATGTGCCACCCTGGCCAAAGGCCCCAAATAGTGGGGTCAAGTAATCTTGGACTAGAACCTCCATTCCCAAGATCCTTATGACCCTAAATAAGCCTTTCTCCTTATTAGTTGTCTCACGTATTTGCCTATAGTGACAGAAAACTGATTACAGTAGCATGTCTGTCACTATGTTCAATTTTCCCCTTTTTGTAAGGACATAATTATGTTGGATTAGGGCCCACACCAATGACCTCATCTTAACTAATCACATTTACAAAGACTGGTTTCCAGGTAAGGTCATACTCTGAGGTACTAGGGTAGGAACTTCAACATCTGAATTTGGAGAGGGACACAGTTCAATCCATACATAACCCTAGGGGTCAAAGAGTCTTCAAGGTCACACAGACCTAGAAGTGCAGGTACAGAGACTTGGTGCCTTGACTATTCTCTCCGTTGAACCCAGGCAATTGATGCACTGAGACTTGTGCAACAGGGAGAATTCTCTCTTCCAGCAAACAACCAGAACCAGGTTGGCTGAGGCATAAATCCACCCAGGAAAGTAGCTCTTCCTTAGACCTAATGTTATAGTATGACTTGAGCTAAGAATCACAAGCCTTCTGTGTCTAGGGAGAGGTCCAAACTAATAATATCCTCCCATTGCTAGAGAATGAACTTGCACTTGATCTCGAGGTGTAGATTCTGCAGGATTCTGATGGGATGGATTGGCAGCTATACATTGGTACCAACTTGAGTTTGGTGATGTCATTCTTATGGCCTGTGGTTTGGAGTTTTGGTGCTCTTGATCTATATTCATGTCTAAATATGCTGTGTTTGGTCTCTTTCACATAGGGTGTATTTTAACAGTGTATAATAAAACATATCTAAATCATGCAAAAGAAAAAGGATAAACTGTTTACTATAAAGTTCTTGCAGGCATTTACTGGATAATGACAGCTTAACTAGAAAAAGATGAAATATGTTCAATTCCAGTGGGGATCACATTTAGGAGAATGATCAGATTATTGTGGAAAACAATTCTTAGTGCATCCGAGGTAGGAGGTAGGGATTATAATAGTGATTTGGGCATGTGGCTTTGTGCACATGAGCACAATTTGAGTCTTGTAATATTGCCACTGTTTTATTCCAGATGGTAAAAAATTTTATTATAGCTTTCACTTAGGGCCTAAAGTATATGCCTATAGAAATGTCCATTCTAGAATTTCTCTTGCAAGAGTTCTAATAAATGCTTACTTATGGAGAAATATCTAAGTAAAATACATTGTAATGAAATGGCACTAAGAATATTTAGTTAAACATGATTTCGAGTAAGTAGAGTGTTGTACACATAAATAAACCTGGCACACATGTGTGGGTTTTAAGAAAACTGGCTAGAAAAAATCTCATGAAAATTAGAGTCAGCTTCAAAGAAATATTTTGTTATAATTAAATTCCCCATTATAAGGAAACAAACAAAGCCATATTCAAATACTTTTAAATAATGGTTAGAAAATTGCTAACAATACCCATAACTGAAATCAAAAGGATTCACTCCCGTGTACTGTATAAGGATGATTTGGTCAGTGACAGACTGCTGTATGACAGTGGTCCTATAAGATGATAAAGTTACTGAAAAAGTCCCATCTCCAAGTGACATTTCAGCCACCTTAATGCCATAGTACAAAGGATTCTTGCGTGTTTGTGGCGATGCTGGTATAAACAGACCAACCACACTTGCAGCTGGGTGAAAGCATAGACATGCAATTATGACAGAACATAAAACATAATGATGAAAATAAAAGAGTACATTACTGGTTTTGTGTTTACTATATTTTGATCATTATTCTAGAGTGCACTCCTCTGTATAAAAAACTGTAAAGCGGCATGCTGGTTTCCCTGGCAGCATTCTCACACAGCTCCCAAGGTTTTCCACTCTCTCGATGAAAAGTACACGCTGCCATGTGCACACAAGGCCAGCACCTCTAATCGTGCATTCTCGGGAGGTGTACCGTCATGAAGCAGGGTATGGCTGTCTTTGCTTTTCCTCCTTTTTCATTCGTTAGTTCCACTGAGGACTACTTAGGCTTACCGAATGTAGGCACGTGGGCGGTAGGGATAGCTAGGACAAGCATCCTGCTCTTCAGAAGCTTTTAATTTACCAGAGGAAGCGGGCAGTGAATAAGTCTTTGCACTAGATGATAAGTACAGTACTGGGGTGAGTGGATGAGTATGCTGTTAGCTCAATTGTCAGGTCAGGGGATACTTTAAAAGGTAAGTTGAGATATAAACTTAAGTTGAAATCTGTTAGTTTGAACACAGGATAAGAGACATTTCCTTTAGAGAGTGAGACACCTGCTAGGTATGGGATGATGGAAATAACATTACAAAGAACTGTAAATAACACAGCGTGTCTGGAACAACAGAAACTGAGATTGGAGAAGGAGGTAGGGCTGATATCATGGGCGGACTGGTGCCAATTATCATATTAGCAAGAGAGGTTTTCAAGCAGGGAAAGAATATGTTTAGAATTTCATTTTAGAGAAATTTGTCTGCAGCAACATGATTGGGTGGAGAGCCTAGAAGCTGAAAACTCCAGGAACTAAGAAAGGAGCCAGATATACTGAGAAGCTGATACCAAACCTAAATAAATGAGGCTTATGTGGACCACTAGGGTATTTTGATAAGGACCCCAAAATATGTCCTCACAATCATGGTTTATATAAAATTTTCAACCCCTCCCAGGGTTTTGTGTGTGTGTGTGTGTGTGTGTGTGTGTGTGTGTTACCAGGGTTTGAGCCCAGGGCTTCCTAGGCAGGTGCTCTGTCACTTGACTATGCCTCTAGCCTTTTTGCTCTGGTTGTTTTGGAGATGGGGGGGTTCTCACTTTTTGCTCAGGCTGGACTGGACAACAATCTTCGTATTTTAAGTTTCCCACCATCACTGGAATGACAAAATGCATGCCACTGTGCCTAGCTTTCT